ACCCACCCATCCATCTCCCATCCCCCTCCCCACCCATCCATTCATCCATCTGTCCATCTATTTATGTGTTTTGTTTTTCTGAGCTGCATGATGGTCTGTTTCAGGCGCAGTGCTTCTAAGTTCCGAACACTCTGCCATGCTCCGTTATAGCATGACTGACTATTCTCTTATCTAGCTGCAGTGTGCAGCAATCAAAACCAGGAAATAATGTTGCTATGCCATTATCTGTGTGAGACCTTATTGCAACCTCACTATTGTCTTATTAATGTTCTTTATAGCAAAGGAAAGTGCTGGTCACAAGCAGCCTCTCGAGGCTCCTTTGCTTCATCTTTGTTTCCTGAACCAGGCATTTTTTGAGGCATGCAGGTCAGTTGCCCATAGAATGGGCTTGGGTTTAGATGTTTTCTATTGCTTAATAGAGACTCAGGTCATGTGGTTTTTGTCCTGAATGTCACAGACATGATGGTATGTCCTCAGTGCTGGTCAGGAGGTATGAGATATCATCTCATCTCATTCTGCAATGCCAAAAGTTCCTTGTCAGATTAAATTTTTGTAGCTATCTAAAAATCATTGCACTGGGGAGTGTAGCTCAGGGCCAGAAGGCTTGCCAAACATGCTCAGGGGAGGCCCTAGGTCCCTTCTGCAGTACTGGGAGAGGAGGGAAACACCCACTCAAAAAACACTGTTTACAGTAGCATAAGCCACTAGGGAGGCTGAGCCAGGAGGTCACCTGAGCCCTGGAATCCAGTGCCAGCCCTAGCAACACAGTGAGACCCCCATCTCAAAAGCAGATAATACAGAGTGGCTTATTTGGCTGCACTATCAAGTTATATTCAGAGAACTTGGGTCCCCCTCAAGTCCTCTATGGACTCCCAATTTTCTTCTAATTTACTAATTCCTTCTCCTGATTTTTGTGTTTGGTTATACCTTCTCCCGTTGATAAATGTTAACACGTTCAGACTTTGTGCACACTGGTGTTCTGTGCTGGTACCAGAGATAGTCCCTGGTCTGTTTTCTGTCTGTGTCCCCAGTCTAGGTGTGGCTAATTTCCTAGTTGTCTGTTGGTGACTGATTATACCATCCCAGCCTTCTATACTGGGTGTTAGTAAGACACAGCTCTTCCCGAGCCATCTGCACCTTGTGGATGGGGTGGAAACCTATTTTTATACCCCAGGCTTGATGCCTTGAGTGTAGTGGGTGCTGAGTGACTGAAGAAATCACAGAAAAGCCTGGCAGAGGTAGAGTTTACATAGAGGACCCTGTTCCTCATCCCAACATGGCTTCCATCACAGTTCCCAGGGTAATACAGTGTTATAGAGTCTTGAGACACACAAATAGGTTTTGGCTGTCACTCAGCCTGTACAACATGTGCTGGACCGTTCATTCCTGTTCCTCTTGGTCTGTAGGGGAAATACCATGTGTAAGGTGGAGAGAGCTTCAGGCTGGCCTTGAGACCTAAGTGTCCAGCTCTTATTTCCTCCTTTCACTAGCAGCTCAGCATGAGCTGTTTAGGGCCTTGGCTCTATCCTTAAGAGCCTAAGTGATTAATGTTCAAATCCTGGTTCAACGCTTGGCTGTCCTTTTTCTCTGACAACAGACTGTCTTTCATCACCAAAGAGAGAAATAGCCCAAGCGCACTATAGGTTTCTTCAGTGATTAAATATTGAAGGGTACAGATGTTCCCAGGAGGAAATGACATGCTATAAAGAAGGTACAATTGAAATGTACCTTAGCTATAGCCCAAGGCAGGGGCCTAAGCTTGTTAAAGATCTAAGTGACTGAATGGTGTCCAT